GAGGAGCAGGACTCGGTCAAGGTGGAATTCAGATTTTCCGGTTTTCCCCAATTTTTCCTGATTTTTCCCCATTTTTTCCTGATTTTTCTGAAGTTTTCTGAGGGCCTAGTGGGGATTTTTTCCTGATTTTTCTATGATTTTTCCCCGATTTTCCCCGATTTTCCCCATTTTTCTGAGGTTTTTTGAGGGCCTAGTGGGGATTTTTCTACAATTTTTCCCCATTTTTCCCCATTTTTCCTGATTTTTCTGAGGGTTTTTGAGGGCTTAGTGGGGATTTTTCCCAGTTTTTCTATGATTTTTTCTATGATTATTCTACAATTTTCCACATTTTTCACAACATTTTAAAAATTTTCCCCAATTTTTCTATGATTTTCCTATTTTTTCTACAATTTTCCCTGATTTCCCCCATCTTCCCCAATTTTCCCAAGTTTTTTCCCATTTTTTCCTAGATTTTCCCTGATTTTCCCAAGTTTTTTCCCCCTGATTTTTCCCAATTTTTCTGGGTTTTTTTAGGAGTTAAATGCATTTTTTTTTCATATTTTTTCAAGGTTTGGTGTGGATTTATTCCCACTTTTTCCCAACTTTTCCCAACTTTCCCCCATTTTTCCCAATCCGCCCCAATCTTTCCCCAATTTTTTTTTTGTTATTTTTTTTCCGACTTTTCTCCAGATTTTCCCAAATTTTCCTGCATTTTCCCCATTGTTTCCCACACTTTTCCCCACTTTTTGAAGGTTTTTCCTGCGGATTTCTCCGGATTTCTCCCCCATTCCCGCTCCCTCCAGGCCAGTTTTGGAATTCCAGCCCCAAATTCCCATTTTTTTTCCCATTTTTCCCGTTTTTTCCCCCGTTTTCCAGGTGGCTCTGCTGGAGACCAACCCGTACCTGCTGGCCCTGACCATCGTGGTGTCCATCGTGCACAGCATCTTCGAGTTCCTGGCCTTCAAAAACGGTGACAATTCCCAAAAAATCCCACAATTCCCAACAAATTCACACAATTCCCAACTTTCCCCACTGTTCCCAAACTTTCCTGGGAATTATGCTAAAAATCTGGGGAATTCAGCCCAAAAATTCCAGGAAATTCAGCCCAAAAATCCGTAGAACCCATCCTAAAATCCTGGGAATTTATCCCAAAAATCCCTGGGAATTCAGCCCAAAAACCCCTGGGAATTCGAGTTCCTGGCCTTCAAAAACGGTGACCATTCCCAAAAAATCCCACAATTCCAACAAATTATGAAAATTCCCAACTTTTCCCACTGTTCCCAAATTTTCCTGGGAATTTATGCTAAAAATCTGGGGAATTCAGCCCAAAAATTCCAGGAAATTTCAGCCCAAAAATCCTTGGAACCCATCCTAAAAATCCTGGGAATTCGGCCCAAAAACCCCTGGGAATTTGAGTTCCTGGCCTTCAAAAAACGGTGGCAATTCCCAAAAAATTCCCACAAAATTCCCAAAACAGCCGCCAGTCCCTGGAGTTCCCAAATCCCCATTTCCGACCCTTTCCCTCCATTCCCACTGGGGATTTTTTCCATTTTCTCCATTCCCAATGGGATTTTTTCCATTTCCCTCCATTCCCACTGGGATTTTCCCTCAATTCCCAGTCAGATTCCCAGAAATTCCCGTTTTTTGCAGACATCCAGTTCTGGAACAGCCGCCAGTCCCTGGAGTTTTCTGATCCTTTCCCTCCATTCCCAATGGGGATTTTTCCATTTTCTCCATTCCCAATGGGATATTTTTCCATTTCCCTCCATTCCCACTGGGATTTTCCCTCAAAGCCTGGGATTCCCAAATCCCCATTTCTGACCCTTTCCCTCCATTCCCAATGGGGTTTTTTCCATTTTTCCAGCATTTCTCTCCATTCCCAATGGGATTTTTCCTCCATTCCCAGTCAGAATTCCCAGAAATTCCCATTTTTCTGCAGACATCCAGTTCTGGAACAGCCGCCAGTCCCTGGAGTTCCCAAATCCCCAATTCTGACCCTTTCCCTCCATTCCCAATGGGGATTTTTCGCCCAAAATCCCAATTTTTCTCCATTCCCAATGAGATTTTTTCCATTTTCCACCATTTCCCTCCATTCCCAATGGGTTTTTTTTCCCCAAAATCCCAATTTTTCTCCATTCCCACTGGGATTTTCCTCAATTCCCACTCAGAATTCCCAGGAATTCCCATTTTTCTGCAGACATCCAGTTCTGGAACAGCCTGGGATTCCCAAATCCCCATTTCTGACCCTTTCCCTCCATTCCAATGGGGCTTTTTCCATTTTCTCCATTCCCAATGGGTTTTTTACCCCCAAATCCCCATTTCCCTCCATTCCCACTGGGATTTTCCCTCAATTCCAGTCAGAATTCCCAGAAATCCCCGTTTTTTTGCAGACATCCAGTTCTGGAACAGCCGCCAGTCCCTGGAGTTCCCAAATCCCCATTTCTGACCCTTTCCCTCCATTCCCAATGGGGATTTTTCGCCCAAAAATCCCAATTTTTCTCCATTCCCAATGAGATTTTTTTCCATTTTCCCACCATTTTTCTCCATTCCCACTGGGATTTTCCCTCAATTCCCACTCAGATTCCCAGAAATTCCCATTTTTTTGCAGACATCCAGTTCTGGAACAGCCGCCAGTCCCTGGAGTTTCTGACCCTTTCCCTCCATTCCCAATGGGATTTTTCCCCCAAAATCCCCATTTCCCTCCATTCCCAATGGGGTTTTTTCCATTTTTCTCCATTTCCCCACTGGGATTTTCCCTCAATTCCCAGTCAGAATTCCCAGAAATTCCCGTTTTTCTGCAGACATCCAGTTCTGGAACAGCCGGCAGTCGCTGGAGTTCCAAATCCCCATTTCTGACCCTTTCCCTCCGTTCCCAATGGAGTTTTTTACCCCCAAATCCCATTTTTTCTCTATTCCCAATGGATTTTTCCCTGAATTCCCAGTCAGAATTCCCAGAAATTCCCATTTTTTTGCAGACATCCAGTTCTGGAACAGCCGGCAGTCGCTGGAGGGGGCTCTCGGTGCGCTCGGTTTTCTTCGGGGTGTTCCAGTCGCTGGTGGTGCTGCTCTACATCCTGGACAACGAGACCAACGTGGTGGTGCAGCTCAGCGTCCTCGTGGGGCTGCTCATCGACCTCTGGAAGATCACCAAGGTCATGGACGTCAGGGTCAGTCTGGGGCAAAAAACCGGGGGGAAATGGGGAAAAATGGAAAAAATGTGAAAAAACGGGGAAAAAATGGCGAAAAAATGGGGGGAAAACGGCAAAAAAATGGGGGAAAAAAAGGGTAAAAAGGAGCTGAGTGTGCTCATGGGGCTGCTCATCGACCTCTGGAAGATCACCAAGGTCATGGACGTCAGGGTCAGTTTGGGGCAAAAAAACGGGGAAATCGGGAAAAATGGAAAAACGGGAAAAAAACGGCGAAAAAATGGCGAAAAATGGGGGAAAAATGGGGGAAAATGAGGGTAAAAAAGGAGCTGAGTGTGCTCGTGGGGCTGCTCATCGACCTCTGGAAGATCACCAAGGTCATGGATGTCAGGGTCAGTCTGGGGCAAAAAAACGGGGGAAATGGGGAAAAATGGAAAAAACGGGAAAAAACGGGGGAAAAATGGTGAAAAATGGGGAAAAAATGGGGAAAAAATGGGGGAAAAAAAGGGTTAAAAAGGAGCTGAGTGTGCTCGTGGGCTGCTCATCGACCTCTGGAAGATCACCAAGGTCATGGACGTCAGGGTCAGTCTGGGGCAAAAAACGGGGAGGAAATGGGGAAAAATGGAAAAACGGGAAAAAATGGTGAAAAAATGGCGAAAAATGGGGGAAAAATGGGGAAAAAATGGGGGAAAATGAGGGTAAAAAGGAGCTGAGTGTGCTCATGGGGCTGCTCATTGACCTCTGGAAGATCACCAAGGTCATGGATGTCAGGGTCAGTCTGGGGCAAAAAACGGGGGAAATCGGGAAAAATGGAAAAAACGGGGAAAAATGGGGAAAAATGGTGAAAAAATGGGGGAAAATAGGGTAAAAAGGAGCTGAGTGTGCTCATGGGGCTGCTCATCGACCTCTGGAAGATCACCAAGGTCATGGATGTCAGGGTCAGTCTGGGGCAAAAAACGGGGAAATCGGGAAAAAATGGAAAAAATGGTGAAAAATGGGGAAAAAATGGGGGAAAAAACAGGGAAAAAATGGCAAAAAATTGGGGAGAATGAGGGGAAAAGGAGCTCAGAGTCATCGTGGGGCTGCTCATCGACTTCTGGAAGATCACCAAGGTCATGGACGTCAGGGTCAGTCTGGGGCAAAAATGGGGAAATCGGGAAAAATGGAAAAATGGGAAAAAACGGGGAAAAAATGGGCGAAAAATGGGGAAAATGAGGGGAAAAGGAGCTGAGTGTGCTCATGGGGCTGCTCATCGACCTCTGGAAGATCACCAAGGTCATGGATGTCAGGGTCAGTCTGGGGCAAAAAACGGGGGAAATTGGGAAAAAATGGAAAAATGTGAAAAAATGGGGGAAAAATGGGGAAAAAAGGTGAAAAAATGGGGGAAAATGAGGGTTAAAAAGGAGCTGAGTGTGCTCGTGGGGCTGCTCATCGACCTCTGGAAAATCACCAAGGTCATGGACGTCAGGGTCAGTTTGGGGCAAAAAACGGGGAAATCGGGGAAAAATGGAAAAATATGAAAAAACGGGGAAAAAAATGGCGAAAAATGGGGGAAAATGAGGGAAAAAGGAGCTGAGTGTGCTCATGGGGCTGCTCATCGACCTCTGGAAGATCACCAAGGTCATGGATGTCAGGGTCAGTCTGGGGCAAAAAAACGGGGAAATTGGGAAAAAATGGAAAAAACGGGGAAAAATGGGGAAAAATGGTGAAAAAATGGCAAAAAATGGGGAAAAAATGGGGAAAAAATGAGGGGAAAAGGAGCTCAGCGTCATCGTGGGGCTGCTCATCGACCTCTGGAAGATCACCAAGGTCATGGACGTCAGGGTCAGTCTGGGGCAAAAAACGGGGAAATGGGAAAAATGGAAAAACGTGAAAAAACGGGGAAAAACGGGGAAAAAATGGGGGAAAAAAACGGGAAAAAACGGGGAAAAAATGGCAAAAAAATGGGGAAAAAATGGGGGAAAATGAGGGAAAAAGGAGCTCAGAGTCATCGTGGGGCTGCTCATCGACCTCTGGAAGATCACCAAGGTCATGGATGTCAGGGGTCAGTCTGGGGCAAAAAACGGGGGGAGGAATCGGGAAAAAATGGAAAAATGTGAAAAAATGGGGAAAAATGGCAAAAAACAGGGAAAAAATGGGGAAAAAATGGCAAAAAATGGCAAAAAATGAGGGGGAAAAAAGGAGCTGAGTGTGCTCGTGGGGCTGCTCATCGACCTCTGGAAGATCACCAAGGTCATGGATGTCAGGGTCAGTCTGGGGCAAAAAACGGGGAAATCGGGAAAAAATGGAAAAAATGTGAAAAAAACGGGGAAAAATGGCAAAAAATGGGGGAAAAATGGGGAAAAAATGGGGGAAATGAGGGGAAAAGGAGCTCAGAGTCATCGTGGGGCTGCTCATCGACCTCTGGAAGATCACCAAGGTCATGGATGTCAGGGGTCAGTCTGGGGCAAAAAACGGGGGAAATTGGGGAAAAATGGAAAAAACGGGAAAAAACGGGGGAAAAATGGCAAAAAATGGGGAAAAATGGGGGAAAATGAGGGGAAAAGGAGCTCAGAGTGCTCATGGGGCTGCTCATTGACCTCTGAAAGATCACCAAGGTCATGGATGTCAGGGTCAGTCTGGGGCAAAAAACGGGGGAAATTGGGAAAAATGGAAAAATGTGAAAAAATGGGGGAAAAATGGGGAAAAAAGGTGAAAAAATGGGGGAAAATGAGGGTAAAAAGGAGCTGAGTGTGCTCATGGGGCTGCTCATCGACCTCTGGAAGATCACCAAGGTCATGGATGTCAGGGTCAGTCTGGGGCAAAAAACGGGGAAATCGGGAAAGAAATGGAAAAATGTGAAAAAACGGTGAAAAATGGGGAAAAACCAGGGAAAAAATGGGGGGGAAAACCAGGAAAAAATAGAGGGGAAAATGGGAAAATAAATGGCAAAAAGCATGGAAAAAATGGGGGGGAAAAAACAGAGGAAAACCTGAGAAAAATGGGGGGAAAAAAAGGAAAAAAAAATAGGAAAAAACGGGGAAAAATCTGGGATGGCTTTTCCACTTTTCCTTGGGTCACTTTGGGGTTTTCCTGGTTCAATTTGGGATTTTCCAATTGAAAATTCCAGTTTCCCAAGGGGTTGGTTTGGAATTTCCTGAGGGGATTCATTTGGGATTTCCCAAGGATCCATTCGGGATTTCCGAAGGATTTGTTTATTTGGGATTTCCGAAGGATTTATTTGGGATTTCCCAATGATTCGTTATTTGGGATTTCCCAAGGATTCATTGGGATTTCCTGAGGGATTTGTTTGGGATTTCCCAAGGATCCATTTGGGATGGTTTTGGGATCCATTTGGGATGGTTTTGGGATCCATTATTTGGGATTTCCCAAGGATCCTTTTGGGATTTCCCAAGGATTCATTTGGGATGGTTTTGGGATTCATTTGGGATTTCCCAAGGATTTATTTGGGATTTCCCAAGGATTTGTTGTTTGGGATTTCCCAAGGATTCACTTGGGGTGGTTTTGGGATCCATTATTTGGGATTTCCCGAGGGATTCATTATTTGAGATTTCCGAAGGATTTGTTTGGGATTTCTTGAGGGATTTATTTGGGATTTCCCAAGGATTCATTACTTGGGATGGTTTGGGGATCCATTTGGGATTTCCCAAGGATCCATTATTTGGGATTTCCCAGGATTCGTTATTTGGGATTTCCCAAGGATCCATTTGGGATGGTTTTGGGATCCATTTGGGATGGTTTTTGGGATCCGTTATTTGGGATTTCCCAAGGATTCATTTTGGGATGGTTTGGGGATTCCTTTGGGATTTCCCAAGGATCCATTTGGGATGGTTTTGGGATTTGTTGTTTGGGATTTCCCATGGATTCACTTGGGGTGGTTTTGGGATCCATTATTTGGGATTTCCCAAGGATCCATCTGGATGGTTTTGGGATCCGTTATTTGGGATTTCCCAAGGATCCATCTGGGATGGTTTTGGGATCCGTTATTTGGGATTTCCCAAGGATTCATCGGGGATGGTTTTGGGATCCATTATTTGGGATTTCCCAGGATCCATCTGGGATGGTTTTGGGATTCGTTGTTTGGGATTTCCCAAGGATTCATCTGGGATGGTTTTGGGATCCGTTATTTGGGATTTCCCAAGGATTCATCTGGGATGGTTTTGGGATTCGTTATTTGGGATTTCCCAAGGATTCATCTGGGATGGTTTTGGGATTCCTTTGGGATTTCCCAAGGATTCATCTGGGATGGTTTTGGGATCCATTATTTGGGATTTCCCAAGGATCCATTTGGGATGGTTTTGGGATTCGTTGTTTGGGATTTCCCAAGGATTCGTTTGGGATGGTTTTGGGATCCATTATTTGGGATTTCCCAAGGATCCATTTGGGATTTCCCAAGGATTCATTATTTGGGATTTCCCAAGGATCCATTTGGGATTTCCCAAGGATTCATTATTTGGGATTTCCCAAGGATTCATTTGGGATGGTTTTGGGATCCGTTATTTGGGATTTCCCAAAGATCCATTTGGGATGGTTTTGGGGCCCATTATTTGGGATTTCCCAAGGATTCATCTGGGATGGTTTTGGGATCCATTATTTGGGATTTCCCAAGGATCCATCTGGGATTGTTTTTGGGATTTCCTTTGGGATTTCCCAAGGATTCATCTGGGATGGTTTTGGGATCCATTATTTGGGATTTCCCAAGGATTCATCTGGGATGGTTTTGGGATCCATTATTTGGGATTTCCCAAGGATCCTTTTGGGATGGTTTTGGGATCCGTTATTTGGGGATTTCCCAAGGATCCATTTGGGATTTCCCAAGGATTCATCTGGGATGGTTTTGGGGCCCATTTGGGATTCCCCAAGGATTCATCTGGGATGGTTTTGGGGCCCATTATTTGGGATTTCCCAAGGATTCATCGGGGATGGTTTTGGGATCCATTTGGGATGGTTTTGGGGCCCATTATTTGGGATTTCCCAAGGATTCATTTGGGATGGTTTTGGGATTTTTGGCAGCTGGACCGGGAAGCAGCGTCTGGCCGGGCTCCTGCCCCGGCCGCGCTTCACCGACAAATCCACGTACGTGGAGAGCTCCACCAAGGTGTACGACGACGTGAGTGGGGAGCCCCGGGAATCAATCATCTGGGAATCATCTGGGAATCATCTGGGAATTTGGGATGGGAACCCCGGGATGGGAACCCCAGGATGGGAACCCCAGGATGGGAATTTGGGATGGGGAGCCCTGGGAATTTGGGGAATTTGGGGTGGGAAGCCCAGGATGGGCCCAGAATTCCAACGGGAACCCTGGGATGGAACCCTGGGATGGAAATGTGGGAATTTGGGATGGGAATCCCAGGAAGGGAATTTGGGAATTTGGGATGGGAACCCCAGGATGGGAACCCCAGGATGGGAATTTGGGAACCCCAGGGTGGGAATTCGGGATGGGAATTTGGATGGGAACCCTGGGATGGGGACCTCAGGATGGGCCCGGAATTCCAACAGGAGCCCCCAAAAATCACCCCCCCAAACCCCCAGACAGCCCCAATTCCCCCCGTTCTGAGGGGTTTTTGGGGTTTCCAGATGGCGTTCCGGTACCACAATGACCCCAAACCGACCCCAAACCCCCAGACAGCCCCAATTCCCCCTGTTCTGAGGGGTTTTTGGGGGTTTCCAGATGGCGTTCCGGTACCACAATGACCCCCAAACCAGCCCCAAATCCCCCCAAATCCCCCAAAAGCCCCAATCCCCCCCATTCTGAGGGGTTTTTGGGGTTTTCCAGATGGCGTTCCGGTACCACAATGACCCCAAACCAACCCCAAACCAACCCCAAACCAGCCCCAAATCCCCCCCAAACCCCCCAAAAAGCCCAAATCCCCCCCGTTCTGAGGGGTTTTTTGGGGTGCATTGCCCCATTTCCAGATGGCGTTCCGGTACCACAATGACCCCAAATCCCCCCAAACCCCCAAAAAGCCCAAATCCCCCCCGTTCTGAGGGGTTTTTGGGGTTTTCCAGATGGCGTTCCGGTACCACAATGACCCCAAACCAGCCCCAAACTCCCTCAAACCCCCAAAAAGCCCCAATTCCCCCCGTTCTGAGGGTTTTTGGGGTTTCCAGATGGCGTTCTGGTACCACAGTGACCCCAAACCAACCCCAAACTCCCTCAAACCCCCCAAAAAGCCCCAATTCCCCCCCGTTCTGAGGGGTTTTTTGGGGTTTGCAGATGGCGTTCCGGTACCACAATGACCCCAAAACCAACCCCAAACCCCCAAAAAGCCCCAAATCCCCCCGTTTCTGAGGGGGTTTTTGGGGTTTGCAGATGGCGTTCCGGTACCACAGTGACCCCAAACCAACCCCAAACCCCCAAAAAGCCCCAAATCCCCCCTTTCTGAGGGGTTTTTGGGGTTTTGCAGATGGCGTTCCGGTACCACAATGACCCCAAAATCCCCCCAAACCCCCCAAAAAGCCCCAAACCCCCCCCCGTTCTGAGGGGTTTTTTGGGGTTTGCAGATGGCGTTCCGGTACCACAGTGACCCCAAACCAGGCCCAAAACTCCCCCAAACCCCCAGACAGCCCCAAACCCGCCCGTTCTGAGGGGTTTTTGGGGTTTGCAGATGGCGTTCCGGTACCACAATGACCCCAAACCAACCCCAAACCCCCCAAATCCCCTCAAACCAACCCCAAATCCCCAAAAAGCCCCAATTCCCCCCCATTCTGAGGGGTTTTTGGGGTTTCCAGATGGCGTTCCGGTACCACAGTGACCCCAAACCAGCCCCAAACTCCCAAAAAGCCCCAAATCCGCCCATTCTGAGGGGTTTTTGGGGTTTTCCAGATGGCGTTCCGGTACCACAGTGACCCCAAACCAGCCCCAAACCCCCAGACAGCCCCAAACCCCCCCCGTTCTGAGGGGTTTTTGGGGTTTTGCAGATGGCGTTCCGGTACCACAGTGACCCCAAATCCCCCAAACTCCCCCAAAACCCCCAATCCCCCCCATTCTGAGGGGTTTTTTGGGGTTTCCAGATGGCGTTCCGGTACCCTGTCGTGGATCCTGTTCCCGCTGCTGGGCTGCTACGCCGTGTACAGCCTGCTGTACCTGGAGCACAAGGGCTGGTACTCCTGGGTGCTCAGCATGCTCTACGGCTTCCTGCTCACCTTCGGTGAGTCCTGACAGCTCCCACAGCAGCCCTGAAACAGCCCTGGAATGGTCCCCAAATATCCTCCAAATGGTCACAAAATATCCCTGAAAAATTCCCAAAATGTTCCCAAAACATCCCTGAAAAATTCCCAAAATGTTCCCAAAATGGTCCTGAAATACTCCTGAAATAGTCCCCAAATATTCTCAAAATAGTCCCAAAAATGTTCCTGAAATATTCCTAGAAATGTCCCCAAAATATCCCTGAAATACCCCTGGAAATGTCCCCGAAATGTTCCAAAATATCCCTGAAATATCCCTGGAAATGTTCCTGATATACTCCTGAAATATTCCTGAAATAGTCCCCCAAAATTCCCAAAATGTTCCTGAAATATTCCTAGAAATTTCCCCAAAATATCCCTGAAATATTCCTGGAAATGTCCCCCAAAATATCCCTGAAATATTCCCAAAATATCCCTGAAATATTCCCGGAAATGTCCCCGAAATGTTCCCAAAATATCCCTGAAATATTCCTGGAAATGTCCCCAAAATATCCCTGAAATATCCCTGGAAATGTCCCTGAAATATTCCTGAAATAGTCCCGAAATATCCTCCAAATAGTCCCAAAATTTCCCTGAAAAATTCCCAAAATGTTCCTGAAATATTCCTAGAAATGTCCCCAAAATATCCATGAAAAATTCCCAAAATGTTCCCCAGAATATCCCTGAAATACCCTTGAAATATTCCTGAAATATTCCTGAAATATCCCTGGAAATGTCCCCAAAATATCCCCAAAATTTTCCCCAAAATATCCCCAGAAATGTCCTCAAATATTCCCCCCAAACATCCTCAAAAAATGCTCCTAAATCCCAAAAAAATGTTCCTAAATCCCCCCAAAACCATTCCCAAATCCAGGTTTTTCTCCAGGATTCATCATCACTACAAGGCCCAGTTCGTGGGTCCCTCAACACCTTCACCTCCAAACCCCCAAAACTGCTCCTAAATCCCCCTAAAAACGTTCCCAAATCCCCAAAAAACGCTCCCAAATCCCCTAAAAACTTTCCTAAATCCCCTAAATTCATCCCGAATTCCGATTTTTTTCCTCCAGGATTCATCACCACCACTCCGAGCTCCTGCTCTGGTGGATCCTCACCCGCAAACCCTTGAAACCTTCACCTCCAAACCCCCAAAAATGCTCCCAAATCCACTAAAAATGTTCCTAAATCCCCTAAAAATGTTCCTAAATCCCCCCAAAAACCATCCCCAAATCTCAGTTTTATTCCAGCATTCAGCACCACAATGGGCTCCCATTGGTGCTCCCTCAACGCCTTCAACCCGAAAATTCCAAAATCACTCCCAAACCCCCAGAACGCTCCTAAATCCCCTAAAAACATTCCTAAGTCTCCCAAAAACGTTCCTAAATCCCCAAAAACCATCCCCAAATCTCAGTTTTTCCCAGCATTCAGCACCACAATGAGCTCCCATTGGTGCTCCCCTCAACACCTTCAACCCGAGAATGCCCAGAATCGCTCCCAAAACCCCCAAAACCACTCCTAAATCCCCTAAAAAACGTTCCTAAGTCCTCCCAAAAAATGTTCCTAAATCCCCATAACCATCCCCAAATCTCAGTTTTATTCCAGCATTCAGCACCACAATGGGCTCCCATTGGGGCTCCCTCAACGCCTTCAACCCGAAAATTCCCGAAACCGTTCGCGAAGCCCGAAAATTCCCGAAATCGCTCCTAAATCCCCCAAAAACGCTCCTAAATCCCCCCAAAAACGTTCCTAAAATCCCCTAAAAACGTTCCTAAATCCCCCTAAAACCATCCCAAAATCTCAGTTTTTCCCCAGGACTCAGCACCACAATGAGCTCCCATTGGGGCTCCCTCAACGCCTTCAACCCGAAAATTCCCAAAATCGCTCCCAAAGCTCCAGAATGCTCCTAAATCCCCCAAAAACGTCCTAAATCCCCTAAAAACATTCCTAAATCCCCAAAAAACCATCCCCAAATCTCAGTTTTATTCCAGCATTCAGCACCACAATGAGCTCCCATTGGGGCTCCCTCAACGCCTTCAACCCGAGAATTCCCGAAACCGTTCCCGAAGCCCGAAAATCGCTCCCCAATCCCCTAGAACGCTCCTAAATCCCCTAAAAACGTTCCTAAATCCCCTAAAAAAACATTCCTAAATCCCAGAAACCATTCCCAAATCCTGTTTTTTCCCCAGGACTCATCACCACAATGGGCTCCCATTGGTGCTCCCTCAACGCCTTCAACCCGAGAATTCCCGAAATCGCTCCTAAATCCCCCAAAAACGCTCCTAAATCCCCTAAAAACGTTCCTAAGTCTCCCAAAAACGTTCCTAAATCCCCAGAAACCATCCCCAAATCTCAGTTTTTCCCCAGGACTCATCACCACAATGGGCTCCCATTGGGACCTCCCTCAACGCCTTCAACCCGAGAATTCCCAAAACCGTTCCCGAAGCCCGAAAACGCCCGAAATGGCTCCCAAACCCCCTAAAAAACGCTCCTAAATCCCCTAAAAACATTCATAAATCCCCAAATCTCAGTTTTTTCCCCAGCATTCAGCACCGTGACGAGCTCCAGTCCGTGGCTCCTCAACACCTTCAACCTGAAAATTCCCGAAATCACTCCCAAACCCCCTCAGAAAAGTCTCCCAAAAACGCTCCTAAATCTCCCTAAAAACGCTCCTAAATCCCCTAAAAACCATCCCCAAATCTCAGTTTTATTCCAGCATTCAGCACCACAATGGCTCCCATTGGGGCTCCCTCAACGCCTTCAACCCGAAAATTCCCAAAACCGTTCCCAAAGCTCCAAAACACTCCTAAATCTCCTGAGAGTGCTCCTAAATCCCCTAAAAACGTTCCTAAATCCCCAAAAACCATCCCCAAATCTCAGTTTTTCCCCAGCATTCATCACCGTGATGAGCTCCAGGCTCCTCAACGCCTTCAACCCGAAAATTCCCGGAATCGCTCCCAAAAGCCTGAAAACCGCTCCCAAATCCCCCAGAGTGCTCCTAAATCCCCTAAAAACGTTCCTAAATCCCCTAAAAACGTTCCTAAATCCCCTAAAAAACGTTCCTAAATACCCAGAAACCATCCCCAAATCCTGTTTTTTCCCCCAGGACTCATCACCACAATGGGCTCCCATTGGGGGCTCCCTCAATGCCTTCAACCCGAAAATTCCCCAAAACCGTTCCCAAAGCTCCAAAACACTCCTAAATCTCCTGAGAGTGCTCCTAAATCCCCTAAAAACGTTCCTAAATCCCCTAAAAACGTTCCTAAATCCCCTAAAACCCATCCCCAAATCTCAGTTTTTCCCCAGCATTCAGCACCACAATGGGCTCCCATTGGGGCTCCCTCAACGCCTTCAACCCGAAAAATTCCCGAAACCGTTCCCAAAGCCCTCAAATCGCTCCCCAATCCCCTAGAACGCTCCTAAATCCCCCAAAAACGTTCCTAAATCCCCTAAAAACATTCCTAAATCCCCAGAAACCATCCCCAAATCCTGTTTTTCCCCAGGACTCATCACCACAATGGGCTCCCATTGGGGCTCCCTCAACGCCTTCAACCCAAGAATTCCGCTCCCGAAGCCCAAAAATTCCCGATGTCGCTCCCAAACCCCCAAACCACCTCAGAAACCCCCAAATTGTTCCTAAATCTCCCAAACACGTTCCTAAATCCCCATAACCATCCCCAAATCTCAGTTTTATTCCAGCATTCAGCACCACAATGAGCTCCCATTGGGGCTCCCTCAACACCTTCAACCCGAAAATGCCCAAATCGCTCCCAAACCCCCTAAAAAACGCTCCTAAATCCCCCAAAACGTTCCTAATCCCCCAAAAACGTTCCTAACTCCCCCTTTTCCGGGCAGGGTTCATCACGATGACCCCGCAGCTGTTCATCAATTACAAGCTGCAGTCGGTGGCGCACCTGCCCTGGCGCATGCTCACCTACAAGGCCCTCAACACCTTCATCGACGACCTCTTCGCCTTCGTCATCAAGATGCCCATGATGTACAGGATAGGCCTGCCTGAGGGATGGTGAGCGCCCTTTTGGGGGAATTGGGGGATTTTGGGGAATTTGGGGGATTTTGGGGGGTTCTAGAATGAAATTTGGGGGGTTTGAGGTGGAATTTTGGGGATTTGAGAGGCATTTTTGGGGTTCCGGAGGAGACGCCCATGATGTACAGGATGGGCTGCCTGAGGATGGTGAGCGCCGTTTTGGGGCCAATTTGGGGGATTTTGGGGAATTTGAGGGATTTTGGGGGTTCTAGAATGAAATTTGGGGGATTTTAGGTGGAATTTTTGGGATTTGAGGGGCAGTTTTGGGGTTCCGGAGGAGACGCCCATGATGTACAGGATGGGCTGTCTGAGGGATGCTATGGAGGAATTTTGGGGCAAATTTGGGGGATTTTGGGGGAATTTTGTGGGAGATTTGGGGATTTTGGGGGATTTTGGGGGGGATTTTGGGGGTTCTAGAAGAAAATTTGGGGGGTGTGAGAGGGAATTTTGGGTATTTGAGAGGAAGTTTTGGGGTTCCGGAGGGAGACGCCCATGATGTACAGGATGGGCTGCCTGAGGGATGGTGAGCGATGTTTTGGGGCCAATTTGGGGGATTTTGGGGAATTTGGGGGATTTTGGGGGTTCTAGAAGGAAATTTGGGGGATTTGAGAGGCAGTTTTGGGGTTCCGGAGGAGACGCCCCTGATGTACAGGATGGGCTGCCTGAGGGATGCTATGGAGGAATTTTGGGGCAAATTTGGGGGATTTTGGGGAGATTCGGGGATTTTGGGGGAATTTTGGGGGAGATTTGGGGAATTTGGGGATTTTGGGGGAACTTGGGGGATTTTGGGGTTCTAGAACGAAATTTGGGGGATTTGAGAGGGAATTTGGGGTTCCAGAGGAGACGCCCATGATGTACAGGATGGGCTGCCTGAGGGATGGTGAGCGCCGTTTTGGGGTGAATCTGGGGGATTTTGGGGAATTTGGGGGATTTTGGGGGTTCTAGAAGGAAATTTGGGGGATTTGAGAGGCAGTTTTGGGGATTTGAGAGGCAGTTTTGGGGTTCCGGAGGAGACGCCCATGATGTACAGGATAGGCTGCCTGAGGGATGGTGAGCGGCCTCTTTGGGGCCAATTTGGGGGATTTGGGGGGAATTTGGGGGAGATTTGGGATTTTGGGGGAATTTTGAGGGATTTTTGGGGGTTCTAGAAGAAAATTTGGGGGGTTTGAGGTGGAATTTTTGGGGATTTGAGAGGAAGTTTTGGGGTTCCAGAGGAGACGCCCATGATGTACAGGGATAGGCTGCCTGAGGGATGGTGAGCGCCGTTTTGGGGGGAATTTGGGGGGTTTTGGGAAATTTGGGGGATTTTGGGGGGATTTTGGGGGTTCTAGAAGGAAATTTGGGGGATTTTGGGGGTTCTAGAAGGAAATTTGGGGGATTTGAGGTGGAATTTTGGGGATTTGAGAGGCAGTTTTGGTGGGGTTCCATGATGTACAGGATGGGCTGCCTGAGGGATGGTGAGCGGCGTTTTGGGGGGAATTTGGGGCATTTTGGGGATTTTGGGGGAATTTGGGGGATTTTGGGGGTTCTAGAACAAAATTCGGGGGATTTGAGTTGGAATTTTGGGGATTCTGGGAGGGGATTTCAGGATACCAGGACATGAATTTTTTGGATTTGAGAGGAAATTTGGGAGATTTGAGGGGGAGTTTTGGGGCTCCAGAATGGAATTTGGAGATTTGAGACCGAATTTTGGGATTTCAGAGGGGAATTTTGGGGGTTCATAGAACGAAATTCGGGGGATTTGAGAGGAAATTTTGAGGATCCTAGAAGGGAATTTTGGGATTTGAGATGAAATTTTCCAAATAGCCCCAAATGGTTCCTGAATAACCCTAAATAACCCCCGAGTTTCCCTGAATAAACCCCAAATTCTCCAAATAAACCTCAAATAATTCCTGAATATTCCCAAAGAACCCCAAACAATCCCCAATTAAACCCCCAAAAATCCCAATTTTCCCGAACAACCCCCAATAAACCCAAATTTTCCCCGAAAAACCCAAATAAACCCCAAAAAATCCCCAAGTAACCCCCAATAAACCCCAATTTTCCCCAAATAAACCCCCACATATACCCCAAATTCCCCAATTTTCCCCAAATAAACCCCAAATTTCCCCGAATAAAGCCCCAAAACTCCCCAATTTTCCCCAAATAAACCTCCAAAAATCCCCAATTTTCCCTGAATAAACCCCCAAAAATCCCCAATTTCCCTGAATAAACCCCCCAAAATCCCCAATTTTCCCCAAATAACCCCCAAAAAATCCCCAAATAAACCCAAATTTCCCAAATAAACCCCCAATAATCCCCAAATAAAACCCCAAAAAATCCCCAATTTCCCTAAATAAACCCCAAAAAATCCCCGATTTTCCCCAAATAACCCCAAATAAACCCCAAATTTACCCGAATAACCCCCAAAAATCCCCAAATAATCCCCAATTTTCCCCCGAACAATCCCCAATTTTCCCCGAATAACCCCCAAATAACCCCCAATTTCCCCAAATAAACCCCCAATTTCCCCAAATACCCCAAAAAAACCCCAATTTTCCCCGAACAACCCCCAAATAAACCCCAAAAAACCCCCAATTTCCCCAATTTCCCCGAATAACCCCACCAAAATCCCCAATTTCCCGAACAACCCCAAATAACCCCCAAAAATCCCCAATTTTCCCCTAAATAACCCCAAATAAACCCCAAATTTCCCCAAATACCCCAAATAAACCCCAAATTTACCCGAATAACCCCCAAAAATCCCCTAATAACCCCAAATAAACCCCAAACAATCCCAAATTTTCCCCGAATAAACCCCCAATAATCCCCAAATAACCCCCCAAAAACCCCCAATTTTCCCCGAATAACCCCCAAAAAATCCCCAATTTCCCCAAATAAACCCCCCAAAAAACTCCCCGAATAAACCCCAAAAAATCCCCAAAAAATCCCCAATTTTCCCCGAATAAACCCCCAAAAAATCCCCAATTTCCCCAAATAAACCCCCCAAAACTCCCCGAATAAACCCCAAAAAAATCCCCAAAAAATCCCCAATTTTCCCCGAATAAACCCCCAAAAATCCCCAATTTTCCCTAAATAACCCCAAATAAACCCCAAATTTCCCCAAATAAACCCCCAATAATCCCCAAATAAACCCCAAAAAACCCCCAATTTTCCCCGAATAACCCCCAAAAAACCCCCAATTTCCCCCAAACAACCCAAATAACCCCAATTTTCCCCAAATAACCCCAAATAAACCCCAAATTTACCCGAATAACCCCCAAATAAACCCCCCAAAATCCCCAATTTCCCCAAATAAACCCAAAAAAAATCCCCAATTTTCCTCAAATAAACCCCCCAAAACTCCCCGAATAACCGTCAAAAATCCCCAATTTTCCTCAAATAAAGTCCCCAAAATCCCCAAGTAACCCCCCAAAAATCCCCAAAAACTTCCCAAAATCCCTGAATAAACCCCAAAAAATCCCCAATTTTCCCCGAACAACCCCCAAATAACCCCCAAAAATCCCCAATTTTCCCCAAATAAACCCCTAAAAATCCCCAAATAAACCCCCCAAAATCCCCAAATAACCCCCAATAAACCCCAAAAATCCCCGAATAACCCAAATAACCCCCAAAAATCCCAAATTTTCCCCAAATAAACCCCCAAAAAATCCCCAATTTTCCCCGAACAATCCCCAATTTTCCCCGAATAAACCCCAAAAATCCCAATAATCCCCAATTTTCCCCGAACAATCCCCAATTTTCCCCAAATAACCCCCAAATAACCCCCAATTTTCCCCAAATAAACCCCAATTTTCCCCGAACAACCCCCAAATAACCCCCAAAAATCCCCAATTTTCCCTAAATAACCCCAAATAAACCCCAAATTTCCCCAAATAACCCCAAATAAACCCCGAACAATCCCCAATTTTCCCCGAATAAACCCCCAATAATCCCCAAATAACCCCCCAAAAACCCCCAATTTTCCCCGAATAACCCCCAAAAAACCCCCAATTTCCCCCAAATAACCCAAATAACCCCAAATTTTCCCCGAATAACCCCAAAAACTCCCCAATTTTCCCTGAACAACCCCCAAAACTCCCCAATTTTCCCCAAATAACCCCCAAAACCCCCAAATTTTCCCCGAACAACCCCCAAACTCCCCAAAATCCCCAAATAACCCCAAAACTCCCAAATTTTCCTTAAATAACCCCCAAAAAAATCCCCAATTTTCCCCAAACAACCCCCCAAACCCCCAAATTTTCCCCGAATAACCCAAAACCTCCCCAATTTTCCCGGAATAACCCCCAAATTTTCCCCAAATAACCCCAAAAAAACCCCCAATTTTCCCCGAATAACCCCCAAAAAACCCCCAATTTCCCCCAAATAACCCAAATAACCCCAAATTTTCCCCGAATGACCCCAAACCTCCCCAATTTCCCCCCAAAATCCAGACGTGGTGTTCTTCATTTACCTGTACCAGCGCTGGATTTACCGCGTGGACCCCACGCGCGTCAACGAATTCGGGGGCACCGGGGAAGCCCCCCCGGGCCGCCCCTCCCCCCCGGCGCTGCCCCCCGGCGCCCCCGAGGACAAAAAAAACGATTAAAAAATAACAAAAAAAAATTAAAAATATAAAAAAATATAAAAAAATCCCCTTCCCCCCCACCCACCCCCACACACGCACCCAGAACGTTCCAGAACTTTCCCCACCCCCATGATGGGGGAGGGGAGGGGGTGGGGAAGGGGCGGGGCCCCCTCCTGCTCTTCCTGGGTTCCTATTGGCCAGACGGGATTTTGGGGAGGTTTTGGGGTTTTTGGGGGGTTTTTGGGGGTGTCACCTCCTGTCCCCCGCCCTTCCCGCCTTCCTATTGGCCAGACGGGATTTTGGGGGGGATTTTGGGGTTTTTGGGGGGGTTTGGGGGTGTCACCTCCTGTCCCCACCCTTCCTGCGTTCCCATTGGCCAGATGGGATTTTGGGGAGGTTTTGGGGTTTTTGGGGGGTTTTGGGGCAGTTTTGGGGGTGTCACCTCCTGTCCCCGCCCTTCCCGCCTTCCCATTGGCCAGACGGGATTTTGGGGGGTTTTGGGGGAGGTTTTGGGGGGTTTTTGGGGTGTCACCTCCTGTCCCTGCCCTTCCCAGGTTCCCATTGGCCAGCTGGGATTTTGGGGAGGTTTTGGGGTTTTTGGGGGGTTTTGGGGCAGTTTAGGGGGTGTCACCTCCTGTCCCCACCCTTCCTGGGTTCCCATTGGCCAGACAGGATTTTGGGGAGGTTTTGGGGGGGTCTTAGGGGGTGTCACCTCCTGTCCCCTCCCCTCCTGCGTTCCCATTGGCCAGCTGGGATTTTGGGGAGGTTTTGGGGTTTTTGGGGGGTTTTTGGGGGTGTCACCTCCTGTCCCTGCCCTTCCCGGGTTCCCATTGGCCAGACGGGATTTTGGGGGGGATTTTGGGGGTTTTGGGGCAGTTTTGGGGGTGTCACCTCCTGTCCCCGCCCTTCCCCGCCTTCCTATTGGCCAGACGGGATTTTGGGGGGTTTTGGGGGAGGTTTTGGGGGTTTTGGGGGGTGTCACCTCCTGTCCCCTCCCCTCCTGGGTTCCCATTGGCCAGCTGGGATTTTGGGGAGGTTTTGGGGGAGGTTTTGGGGGTTTTTGGGAGGTGTCACCTCCTGTCCCCTCCCCTCCCGGGTTCCCATTGGCCAGCCGGGATTTTGGGGAGGTTTTGGGGTTTTTGGGGGGTTTTTGGGGGTGTCACCTCCTGTCCCTGCCCTTCCCACCTTCCTATTGGCCAGACGGGATTTTGGGGCAGATTTGGGGGGTCTTAGGGGGTGTCACCCTCTCCCTTCCTGCGTTCCTGTTGGCCAGATGGGATTTTGGGGGGTTTGGGGGGATTTTGGGGGTTTTTGGGGCAGTTTTGGGGGTGTCACCTCCTGTCCCCGCCCTTCCCACCTTCCTATTGGCCAGACGGGATTTTGGGGGGTTTTTGGGGGGTTTTTGGGGGTGTCACCTCCTGTCCCTGCCCCTCCTGGGTTCCCATTGGCCAGACGGGATTTTGGGGGGGTTTTGGGGGTTTTTTGGGGGGTGTCACCTCCTGTCCCCGCCCTTCCCGCCTTCCTATTGGCCAGACGGGATTTTGGGGGGGATTTTGGGGCAGTTTTGGGGGGTATCACCTCCTGTCCCCTCCCCTCCCGGGTTCCCATTGGCCAGACGGGATTTTGGGGCAGATTTGGGGGGTCTTAGGGGGTGTCACCTCCTGTCCCTGCCCCTCCTGGGTTCCCATTGGCCAGCCGGGATTTTGGGGGGGTTTTTGGGGGGAATTTTGTCACCTCCCGGGTCCCCTCCCCGCTCCCGGTGTCCGGTGTCACCTCCCGGTGTTGTCGCGTCCCCGTCGTGCTCCATCCATCCCATTGTCCGGTGTGGTAGGAAAAGTGTCCACGGAGCCATAAAGAGCTGATTTCACCCCAAAAACAATTCAGGGTTTTTGTTTCCTTCCGGGCTTTCGCTCCTGCTTCGGGGGGGTTCCCATTTTTGGGGGGATTATTCCAATTTTTGGGGGGGATTTTCCAATTTTTGGGGGGATTTTCCCATTTTTGGGGAGATTATTCCAATTTTCGGGGGGATTTTCCCATTTTTGGGGGGATTATTCCAATTTTTGGGGGGGGGTTTCCCATTTTTGGGGGGATTATTCCAATTTTTGGGGGGGTTTTCCCAATTTCTCGGGGGGGGTTTCCCATTTTTGGGGGCATTATTCCAATTTTGGGGGGGATTATTCCAATTTTTAGGGAATTTCCCCACTTTTTTGGGGGGCTTTCCCTGCTTTTTGGGGAGGGGGGGGTGTGTCTCATTTTTGGGGGTGATTTTCCCATTTTTGTGGGGATTTTCCCTTTTTTTGGGGAGGATTTTCCCATTTTTGGGGGGGATTATTCCCATTTTTTGGGGGCTTTCCAATTTTTGGGGGGGATTTTCCCAATTTTTGGGGTTTTCCCTCGGGTGGAGCAGCAGCTCCAGGGACGAGGGAGCCCCAATTTGGGGAGGGGTCCCGGGGGTCCCGGTGATTTGGGGGGGGGGTTCCCGGTGCTCTGCATTAATTTGGGGGTGTCCCAGGGGTCTCCATTAATTTGGGGGGGTCCCCGTAATTCGGGGAAGGGTCCCGGTAATTTGGGGGGGGGTCCAGGGAGCTGAGGAGGCCAAACAGGCCCTGACCCCTCCCCCCACCAAGCCACGCCCCCAATTTTGTGGGGGAGGGGTCCACAAGCCCCTCCCCCCTCACTAATTAATGATTAATTATTAATTAGTGCCACACTGTGCCCCTCCCCCCCCACTTTTCCCCGTTCCCCCCACCCCCCACTTTGGGGTGGTTTTTTTAAGTCACTTTTGATTTTTTCACTTTATTTGCACCAATAAACGGTTTTTTTACGGGAAAAAATTTAATTAAAATGTAAATTTATGCGTTTGGGGGTGGAGCTTGAATGGCCACGCCCACATTCTTCAGAGGAAGCTCCGCCCACTCCAATCACAGCACTCCTCCTAATCCGGCCCCGCCCCTTCACATTGGCCACGCCCACTGCAGAACAATCACGCCCAAACTGGCCACGCCCACCCTCTGCATTAGCCCCGCCCCTTAAAGGCACAGGTGGGGGGGGGGCGTGGCCTGCCACAGTAGGGGCGTGTCCAGATCCGGTGGGGGCGTGTCCAGATCCAGCAGCGCCATTCACTGATTTGGTGGGGGCGTGGCCTGAGCTTCGATGGGCGTGGCCTGAGCTTCGATGGGCGTGTTCAACCTCGTTCTGGGCGTGGCCTGAGATTCCCTGGGCGTGTCCCTGGTTGTGCCCCACCCCTCCCTGGGCATGTCTCTGGTTATGCTCCGCCCCTCAGAGAAACAGGGGGAAACTGAGGCACAGAGAAAAATGAAACTGAGGCACAGGAATGGGGAATGGGGAGGGAAACTGAGGCACAGAAAACATCTCCACCCAGTGGTAAACTGAGGCACGGAAGATAAAATGGGAGGGAAACTGAGGCACAGAAAACATCTCCACCCAGTGGTAAACTGAGGCACGGAAGATAAAATGGGAGGGAAACTGAGGCGCAGAAATGGGGAATGACAGGGGAAACTGAGGCACAGGGAATGAGGAATGGGGAGGGAAACTGAGGCACAAAAAAGCGAATGACAGGGAAACTGAGGCACGAGAAAGGGAAACTGAGGCACACATAAAGGGGGACGAAAACTCCACCCAGTGGTAAACTGAGGCACGGTGAAAAAAAAAACCATAAAGGTCAAATTAAAAATAAAAGTTAAATAAAAATTAAAATTAAAAAAATAAAATAAAAAGCTTTAAGAATAGAAAAATTAAAAATATTTTTAAAAAATTTTAAAAAATAAAATAAGTGCTTTAAAAATAGAATAATTAAAAATAAAAATGAAATAAAAAATAAAATAAAAAATAAATTAAAAAGCTTTAAAAGTAGAAAAATTAAAAAAAATAAAATATAAAATTAAAAAAATAAAATAAAAAGCTTTAAAAATAGAAAAATTTAAAAAAAAGAAAATTTAAAATTCAAAAAATTGAAAAAAGTTTTAAAAATTAAATTAAAAAATGAAATTTAAAAATAAAATAAATGCTTTAGAAAAATTAAAAATTAAAATTAAATTAAAAATATAATTAAAATAATAATAAAAGCTTTAAAAATAGAAAAATAAAAAAAATTTAAAAATAAAATAAATGCTTCAAAAATAGAAAAAGTAAAAGAAAATTAAAAATAAAATTTAAAAAATGAAATAAAAAGCTTTAAAACTAGAAAAATTAAAAATAAAAATTAAATTAAAAATTAAATTAAATAATAAAATAAAAAGCTTTAAAAATAGAAAAAGTAAAAATAAATTAAAAATAAAATTAAAACAATAAAATAAATAGCTTTAAAATGGAAAAATTAAAAATAAGAATTAAATTTTAAAAATTTAAAAATAAATTAAAAAGCTATAAAAATAGAAAAATTAAAAATAAAAATGGAATAAAAAATAAAATTATTTAAAAAAAATAAAATAAAAAGCTTTAAAAATAGAAAAATTAAAAACTAAAATTAAATAAAAAATAAAATTTAAAAAATGCTTTAAAAAGAGAAAAAGTAAAAATAAATTTAAAATAAAATTTTTAAAATGAAATAAAAAGCTTTAAAAATAGAAAAAGTAAAAATAAATTTACAATAGAATTTAAAAAATGAAATAAAAAGCTTTAAAAATGGAAAAAATTAAAAATAAAAATAAAATTTAAAAAATTTAAAAATAAATTAAAAAGCTATAAAAATAGAAAAATTAAAGATAAAAATGAAATTTAAAAAAATTATTAAAAAATAGATTTAAAATATTTAAAAATAGAAAAATTAATAATAGAAATTAAATAAAAAATAAATTTTAAAACTAAAAAAAGGCTTTAAAAATAGAAAAAGAAAAAATAAATTAAAAATAAAATTTAAAAAATGAAATAAAAAGCTTTAAAAATAGAAAAATTAAAAATAAAAATTAAATAAAAAATAAAAAAATGCTGAAAAAATAGTAAAATTAAAAATAAAAATTAAATAAAAAATTCGATAAAATTTAAAAATAAAATAAAAAGCTTTAAAAACAACAAAATTAAAAATAAAATTGAAAAAATGAAAAAAATTAAATTAATTAAAAATTAATAAAAAACAAAATAAAAACCGTAAAGTGCTGTAAAATACCAGAAAAATTCCATAAAAAGTGGTACCGAAACGCGCGACTGTCGTAAAATGTCGCAAAAGGTGCCGTAAAGCGGGGATGTCGTAAAAGGGACGTAAAGCGAAACTGTCGTAAAAGGGCCCGTAAAGCGCGACTGTCGTAAAAGCGGCCGTAAAGCAAAACTGTCGCAAAAGGTGCCGTAAAGCGCGGATGTCGTAAAAGGGGCCGTAAAGCGCGGATGTCGCAAAAGGTGCCGTAAAGCAAAACTGTCGCAAACGGGGCCGTAAATCAGAACTGTCGCAAAAGGGGCCGTAAAGCGCGGATGTCGCAAACGGGGCCGTAAAGCGCGACTGTCGCAAAAGGGGCCGTAAAGCAAAACTGTCGTAAACGGCGCCGTAAAGCGTGACTGTCGTAAAAGTGTCGTAAAAGGTGCCGTAAAGCGCGACTGTCGCAAAGGGGCCGTAAAGCGCGGACGTCGTAAAAGGTGTCGTAAAGCGTGACTGTCGCAAAAGGTGCCGTAAAGCAAAGCTGTCGCAAAAGGTGTCGTAAAGCGCGGATGTCGTAAAAGGGGTCGTAAAGCAAAACTGTCGCAAAAGGGGCCGTAAAGCGCGACTGTCGTAAAAGGGGCCGTAAAGCGCGGATGTCGCAAAAGGGGCCGTAAAGTGAGACTGTCGTAAACGGTGCCGTAAAGCGCGACTGTCATAAAATTGCGGCAAACCGCGACTGTCGTAAAATTGCGGCAAAGCGCGACTGTCGTAAAAGGGGCCGTTAAGCGCGACTGTCGTAAAACTGCCGTTCAGCCATTTAAACCAGAAACTCCGGACACGTTTTTAAAGCTCTTTATTCATATCTCGTGCCGAGCCATGGCTGCCGGGGGCCGCTCCCAGCCCGCCGGGCGCCGCTCGAGCTCCGTTTGCCGCACGGGGGGTGCCCGCAGCGGCCGCCCCGCCCAGCTCCGCCCCTGCCGCGACTCCGCCCCTTCCCGCCGCGAGTCTTTAACGGGACACGCCCCCACCTCCCCGCCGGACCCCACGGTACCCGCGGCGCTGCTCGCCCCTCCCGCTCCGCCCCCCGGCCCCTCCCGCCGCTGCCGCCATCCCCGCCTTTGCCGTCCCGTCGGTCCCGGCTGCCGCGGCTACCGCGGGACCCGCGCCTCACTTCCGCTTTTACGGCCCCGCCCACCGGCGTCACCGCGGCCCCGCCCCCTTTTGCCGCCGCCGCCGCTTCCCCCCCGTTACCCGCGAGTGCGGCCGCCCCCCCCCCGTCCCCTCGCCCCCTTTGCCGACCCAGCGGGGCCGGTGCTGGCCCGAGCCCCGTCGCTGCCGCTGCGTCTTTGCCGTTCCCTGCCGCTCCCGGCTCTGCGGTGCCGAGCGCGCCCGGCGCGGCCGCGCCGCGTCCCCAGCGCCCCCTGTGCGCGTTGCCGCCCCCCCCAACCCCGGCGCTCCGAGCCGCCCACGGGCCCCGCGGCGGGGCAGACGCCCGTGTTTAATCCCGTCCCTGCCGCCGTTTCAGCGCCATTCCCCGGTCCCGGCACGGCACCGCTTGCGCCGGGACCGGAGCGCCCCTGCCCGCCGAGCCCCCCCGTGCCGGCGCCGCGGCGTCCGCACCGGTGGCCGCGGCTTTTGCCGCGCCTGCCGCGCCGCCCCTGCCCGCCGGGCCGGCCGCCCCCCCAGCCCGCGGCAGCCTCCCGCCGCCTCCCCGCCGCTCCTCCCGCCTCCCGCCGCCCCTCCGCGATCATCTCCCGCTGGCGGGGCCGCCCCGCCGCCGCCCGCGGTCGCTTTTCCGCTCCTGCCGCTGCCGCTCCACGGCGCGCCGAGCCGCGCCTTCCCCAGCGCGGCCCCCGCTTCACAGCTGCCGCGTGGCGCGGCTCCGCCGCCTCCTGCGACCACGGCCGTGCCGGCGTTGCCTTCCACGGCCGCGGCCGCGGCCCCGTTCCCGTTTCTGCGGCTCCGCCACCTCCCGCGCCCCCCCCGCCCGCCATGTTGGCTCCCTTACGCTGCCCTAGTGCAGCAAACCACGCATGCGCAGTTGCTACAACGCCGCACCAGCGATATCACTCCGCGCCGCCTCATCCAACCACAGCGCCGCTTCCGGGATCTGCCGCGCGCATGCGCGGTTTTATCTGCACGGCCCCGCCGCCCCCCCCCCCCCGCCGCTGCTTTCCCGCAGCTTTGGCGCAGCCTGGTCCCGGTTCCGAGCCGCTTCCGCCGCTGTCCGGCCACAGCCGGCATCCCCGTGCCCGGGCACGCCGCTTCCGCCGCCACCGGGTCCGTACACGGCAGCACCGCAAGCGAAAACTGCCGCGCCTTGCGTGTATCCTTCCGCGTCTCCGCCGCGGCCGGAGCTTGCCGCCCCCCCCCCGCCGCTGCTTTCCCGCAGTTTTGGCGCAGCCCGGTCCCGGTTCCGAGCCGCTTCCGCCGCTGTCCGGTCACAGCCGGCAGCCCCGTGCCCGGGCACGCCGCTTCCGCCGCCACCGGGTCCGTACACGGCAGCACAGCAAGCGAAAACTGCAGCGGCTTGCGTGTATCCTTCCGCGTTTCTGCCGCTGCCGGAGCTTGATGCGGCACGGCCGCATCACCGAGAGATCCCTCCGCAGGGGGTAGCACTGCACACCCGATCCCTGGTATCCCTCCGCGTTTTCGCCTTCCGCGCTCCCGGCACCGAGAGCGGGACTATTTTGTGTCACGATTATCATAATGAAATTATTATAAATTTATCTTTATTTATTAATTCAGCTGGAATATGACAGCTGAATTAATAAATCCAGGACAGACAGTTCGATTCCTGTGTTTGAATGGAATTTATGCATCATTAATGAGGTCTATGAATATGCAACAGGTTATTACTTTAAAGGGTTAATCCTCTGTTAACGTGGGTTCCTTTTTCGGGCTCGTGCTGCCCAGAAAAAGGTACCCGGACTGTCCCTAACTCTTTGTATTGATGATTCCCATTTTTGGGGGATTTGTCCCTCATTTTTTGGGGGCTTTCCCCGCTTTTTGGGGAGGGGGGGGGTGTGTCTCATTTTTGGGGGGGATTTTCCTATTTTTTTCGGGGATTTTCCCTTTTTTGGGGGAGCATTATTCTCATTTCTAGGGGGATTATTCCCATTTTTGGTTATTCCCATTTTGGGGGGGGATTTTCCTACTTTTTTTGGGGAATTTTCCCAATTTTTGGGGTTTTCCTTCGGGTGGAGCAGCAGCTCCAGGGAACGAGGGAGCCCCAATTTGGGGAGGGGTCCCGGGGGTCCCGGTGATTTGGGGAGGGGGTCCCGGTAATTCGGGGAGGGGTCCCGGTGATTTACGGAGGGGTCCCGGTAATTCGGGAGGTGGTCCCGGTAATTTGGGGAGGGGTCCTGGGGTCCCGGTAATTCGCGGGGGGGGTCCCGGTGCTCCCCGTTAATTCGCGGGTGTCCCGGGCGTCTCCGTTAATTTGGGGGGGTCCCGGTAATTCGGGGAGGGGTCCCGGGGGCTCCCGGTAATTTGGGAAGGGGTCCCGGGGGCTCCCGTTAATTTGGGAAGGAGTCCCCGTTAATTTGGGGAAGGATCTCGGGGGTCCCGGTAATTCGGGGAGGGGTCCCGGTAATTTTGGGAGGGGTCTCGGGAGTCCCGGTAATTCGGGGAAGGGTCCCGGTAATTTTGGGAGGGGTCTCGGGAGTCCCGGTAATTCGGGGAAGGGTCCCGGTAATTTGGGGAGGGGTCCCAGGGGCTCCCCGTTAATTTGCGGAGGGGTCCCGGTAATTCGGGGGTGGGTGTCCTTGTGCTCCCCGTTAATTCGCGGGTGTCCCGGGGGTCTCCGTTAATTTGGGGAGGAGTCCCCGTTAATTTGGGGAAGGGTCTCGGGGGTCCCGGTAATTCGGGGAGGGGTCCCGGCAATTTTGGGGGGGGTCCCGTTAATTCAGGGAGGTGTCCCGGGGCTCCCGTTAATTTGAAGAGGGGTCCCGTTATTTTGGGGAGGTCCCCGTTAATTTTGGGGGGGGGTCCCGGGGGTCTCTCCGTGTCCCCGTCCCCCTCCTCTCGCAAGTCACGTGTCCCGATCAGGCCCCGCCCCCTCACGTGTCCCAGCACCGGCCCCGCGGCCGCACGTGGCCCGCGAGGGACACGTGACCTGAAACAGGCGCGCCCATTGGTCGATGGAGCTGTCGGTCAAACTCGGGGGCGGGATGTGGGCGGGGCTTGGGGAGGCCGGGATTCGCCCCCGCCCCCAAAACCGGGATCGGAACCGGGACCCCCGAACGGGACCGGGATCGGAACCGGAACCGGAACCGGGACCAGGACACCCTGACCAGGACTGGAACCGGCACCGGGACACCCGAACGGGACCAGGATCGGAACCGGGACCCCTGAACGGGACCGGGACCCCTGAACGGGACCGGACAGGACCGGACCGGACCGGGATCCCCGAACCGGAGCGGATCCCCGGGCAGGGACCTCCCGGCTGGTACCGGAGCCTCCGGGACTCCCTGGCCGGTACCGGAGCCAGACAGGTACAGGCGGGGACAGGAGGGGACAGCGAGGGGGATTTGGGGACAGGTGACACCAGGGGGACACAGGAGGACAGGGGGGATTTGGGGACAGGTGACACCGGGGGACACGGACACAGGAGGGGACAGTGAGGGGGATTTGGGGACAGGTGACACTGGGGGAACAGGGGGGATTTAGGGACGAGGGACATTTGGGGGACACCGGGGGACACGGGGACAGGGGGGATTTGGGGACAAAGGGACACTGAAGGACACAGGGGACATTGGAGGGGACTCCACGCCCCCCCCCCCCGCTGTCACCGGGCCACCCCCGCAGGGTCCCCGTGTCCCCGATGCCGGACGAGCCGGGGGTGGCCCCGGAGGTGGCCCCGAGGTCTCTCCCGTCCCCGCCGCCCCCGGGGACCCCCCGGAAAAGGGCGCGGCCCCCCCCGGGCAGCGACTCCGAGCACGACTCGGGATTCTCAGGTGGGCGGCGGAGGCGGCCCGGGGGTCCCGGGCCCGGTGCTGCCGGTACCGGGGCTTCCGTCCCTTGTCCCGGTCCCTTGTCTCGGTCCCTTGTCCCGGTCCTGGGGGTCCCGTCCCTGTCCCGTTTCCTTGTCCCGGTCCCTTGTCCCGGATCCGGGGTTTCCATCCCTTGTCCCGGTGCCGGGGTCCCGTCCCCCGTTCCGGGCTCATTCCCGCCCCGGCAGATTCCGGTTCGGAGCACCTGGGCCGGTGCGAGGGGACGGACCCGGAGGAGCCGCCCGGGCCCGGCCGCGCCCTCCCGGGGCCGCAGGTAACCGGGATCGGCACCGGGATGGTCCAAATCCCGATGGTGCCGGTACCGGGATGGTCTGGATCCCGTGATTCTGGTACTGGGATGATCCAAACCCCGCGGTTCCGGTACCGGGATGGTCTGGATCCGGTACCGGGCTGTCCCAAACCCCGTGGTTCCGGTACCGGGCTGATCCAAACCCCGCGGTTCCGGTACCGGGATGATCCAAACCCCGCGGTTCCGGTACCGGGCTGTCCCAAACCCCGCGGTTCCGGTACCGGGCAGCTCCGTGCCTCTGTCCCCGGTCCCTTTTGTCCCCTCCTGACCCTCCCGTGTCCCTCCCGCAGCCCCCGGGAGCCGCTCGGGACCCGCGGCCGCTCCTGCTGCGCCCCCCGCCCGCCGCCGTCCCCGGTGCGCACGGGACCCCCCGGTGCCCTCCGGTGCCACCGGGTGTCCCCGCGGAGCTGTCGCCGTGTCCCCGCCGGTCCCCGCTGCTCCGCTCTCCGCCCGCCGCCATCCCCGGTCCGGAGGGGACTCCCCGGTGTCCCCCGGTGGCACCGGAGCTGTCGCCGTGTCCCCACCGGTCCGCGCTGCTGGCGGCGCTGGCGCTGCGCACCGGGGCCCTGCTCCGCCACAACCGGCGCACCCAGGGCGACATCGCGACATTGCGGCGACACGCGACACTGCTGGCCCGGGCCAGCCGCGACCGCCGAGTGTGGCCCCGCCTGTGTCACCTGCGGGGCCACCCCGCGGGGGCCACCGGGAGGCACCGGGAGCCGCCCGGGGCTGGCGGCGAATAAAGCGGTGGCACCGAGGGGGCTCTGAGCCTTTGGTGGCATTTGGGGACATCCCCGGCTCCTTGTCCCCTCCCGGTGCTGGCACTTGGGGTCCTCCCGGTGTCCCCTCGGTGTCCCCTCGGTGTCCCCACCGATGTCACCGCCGGTGTCCCCTCGGTGTCCCCTCGGTGTCACCCCCGGTGTCCCCCCGGGCTGTCATTGTCACACGGAGGGGGCGTGGTCTTTGTTCCGTAGCCACGCCCACCAAACGCACGGAGGTGCCGCCCCTTCCTATTGGCAGGAAAAGGGGGCATGGTCCCGTAGTTTGATTGACAGCGTGCTGGTCCAATCGTGAGGGAGGACAGAGGCCACGCCCTTTCCGCGGTACCGGAGCGCGCGCGGCGGCTCCGAAACCCCAGAACCGAACCCGGGACCCCCAGAACCGAAACCGGGACCCCAAAACCGAACCCGGGACCCCCAGAACCGACCCCGGGACCCCAAAACCGATCCCGAACCCCGCCATGGACCCAGACCCGGACCCGGACCCGAATCCCGGAGCCGCCACCGACCCGGCACCGGCAGCGGCAGCGGCAGCGGCAGCGGGGGGGAAGCGGCGGCGGTTCACGGTTCGGCAGGAGAGTCCCGACGAAGCCCCGGTACCGGCGGTGGCGGGAGGGGACCGGGAACCGAACGGGGACCGGGGGCGGAACCGGGGGGTGGTGAACGGGAACGGGAACGGGGACCGGGGACGGGGGGCTGGGGACACCGGGGACCAAACGGGGAACCGGGGATGGGACCGGGGACCGGGGACCGGGGAACCGGGAAAGGTCGGGGGTGGTGGCCCCGGTGTCCCCGCGGGTGATCGGAGCTGTCCCGGTGTGACCGGAGCTGTCCCGGTGTCACCGGAGCTGTCCCGGTGTTCCCGCCAGGTCCCGTCGCTCTTCAGAGCCTCCTCTGCGCCCCCCCCGGGCCCGGTGCCGGTTCGGGATCCGGTGCCGGTTCCGATCCCGCCCGGTCCCGGTTCTTACGCTGAGTTCGTGGTGAGGGGCTCGGGGGCCACCGGGAAGGACCGGGACCAAAACCGGGATCAGAACCGGGACCAAAACCGGGATCAGAACCGGGAGCGGGACCGGGATCAGAGCCAGAACCGGGAGCGGGATGAGAGCCGGGATCAGAACCGGGACCGGGATCCCGGAGCCACCGGAACCGCCCCCTCGGGACCCCTCCCGGGACCTTCAGGACCCCTCCTGACCCCCGGGGACCGGGACCGGGACCAGAACCGGGACCAGAACCGGGACCGGGCTCAGCCTCAGGAGGTGCCGGCCCTGCCCGTGCTCAAACCGGGCACCAAGAGCAGCAGCATCATCGTCAGCCCGCGACAGGTGGGCGGGGCCATGTCGCGACATGGGCGGGGTCTGTCCCTGATGATGTGGTGGGGACGGGCTCATGTCACGACATGGGGGGTGTGTCCCAGGGCTTCGTGTTGGGGGCTCATATCGCGACACAGGGGGCTCATGTCACGACACGTGGGGTCTGTCCTTGGCTTTGGGGCTCGTGTCACGACATGGGGAGTCTGCCCTGAGGCTCATATCGTGACACGGGGGGCTCATATCACGACACGGGGGGCTCATATCGCGATATGTGGGGCTCATATCGTGATATGTGGGGGCTCATGTTGCGACAGGGGGGTCTCATATCGCGCCATGCCCCCGTCCCAGCGCGGCAACCCCGTGCTCCGGTTCATCCGTAACGTCCCTTGGGAGTTCGGGGACGTCGGCCCCGACTTCGTCCTGGGCACCTCCAGCTGCGCCCTCTTCCTCAGGTGAGAGCACAGGTGTGGCCCCAGGTGTCCCCAAGTGTCCCCAGGTGTGTCCTCAATGTCCCCAGGTGTCCCCTCAGTGTCCCCAGGTGTGTCCTCAATGTCCCCAGGTGTCCCCTCAGTGTCCCCAGTGTGGCCCCAAGTGTCCCCAGGTGTGCCCTCAATGTCCCCAGGTGTGCCCAGGTATCCCCAGGGTGTCCCCAGGTGTCCCCACCTGTCCCCTGTGTCCCCAGCCTCAGGTATCCCCAGGTGTGTTCCCAGCTGTTCCCCTGTCCCCAGGATGTCCCCAGGATGTCCCTCAGTGTCCCCAGGTGTCCCCTCATGTCCCTGTCCCCAGCCTGAGGTACCTGAGGGATACCTTGAGGTGTCCCCAGGATGTCCCCAGGTGTCCCTCAGTGTCCCCACCTGTCCCCAGCCTCAGGTACCACCACCTGCACCCCGGGTACATCCACGAGCGGCTGCGGGCGCTGGGGCGGAGCTTCGGCCTCCAGGTGCTGCTGCTGCAGGTGGACGTGGTGAGGTGGCCCTGGCACATTGTCACTGTCATTGTCACATTGTCACTGTCATTGTCACTGTCATTGTCACATTGTCATTGTCACCTTAGCACTGTCACTGTCACTGTCACTGTGTCCGTCCATTCCCTCCGTGTCCCCTCCAGGTGCTGCTGCTGCAGGTGGACGTGGTGAGGTGGCCCTGGCACATTGTCACTGTCATTGTCACATTGTCATTGTCACCGTCACCTTGACAGTGTCACTGTCACCTTATCACTGTCACTGTCACTGTGTCCGTCTGTCCGTCCCCTCCCTGTCCCCTCCAGGTGCTGCTGCTGCAGGTGGACGTGGTGAGGTGGCCCTGGCACATTGTCACTGTCACATTGTCACTGTCATTGTCGCCGTGGCACATTGTCACTGTCATTGTCACATTGTCACTGTCATTGTCACCGTGGCACTGTCACTGTGTGTGTGTCTGTCCCTGTCCCCTCTGTCCCCTCCCATGTCCCTGTCCCCATCTCCCCTGTCCCTTCACTGTCCCCGTCCTACCTGTCCCTTCTGTCCCACTCTGTCCCCTCACATGTCCCCTCTGTCGTCTCCCTTGTCCCTGTCCCTGTCCCCATCTCCCCTGTCCCTGTCCCTTCTGTCCCCTCATCTGTCCCTGTCCCTGTCCCCATCTCATGTGTCCCCTGTGTCGTGTCCTCTCACTGTCCCCTGTGTCCCCTCACTGTCCTCCGTGTCCCCTGTGTCCCCTCCCTGTCCCCTCACTGTCCCCTCTGTCCTCTCCCTTGTCCCTGTCCCTGTCCCCATCTCCCCTGTCCCCATCTCGCATGTCCCCTGTGTCCCCTGTCCCTGTCCCTCTCCCTTGTCCCTGTCCCTGTCCCCATCTCACTGTCCCCTGTGTCCCCTCCCTGTCCCCCGTGTCCCCTCACTGTCCCCCGTGTCCCCTCGCTGTCCCCTCACTGTCCCCCGTGTCCCCCGTGTCCCCTCACTGTCCCCTCACTGTCCCCCATGTCCCCCCAGCGTGACCCCCAGCAGTCCCTCAAGGACCTGGCCAAGGTTTGTCTGCTCACGGACTGCACCCTGCTGCTGGCATGGAGGTACTGTCCCCAAAGTGTCCCCAAAATGTCCCCAAATGTCACCAAAATGTCCCCAATGTCCCCAAAATGTCCCCAAAATGTCCCCAAACATCCCTAATGTCCCGAAATGTCCCCAATGTTCCCAAACGTCCCCAGGTCTCCCCAATCCTCAAATGTCCCAAAAATGTCCCCAAATGCCCCCAATGACCGCAATGTCCCCAACGTCCCCAATATTCTCAAATGTCCCTGATGTCCCCCAATCCCCCAATGTCCCCCCAATGCCCCCAATGACCCCAATGTCCCCAATGTCCCCAATCCCCCAACATCCCCAAATTCCCCCAACGTCCCCAATCCCCCCAATGTCCCCAAATGTCCCAAAAATGTCCCCAAAATGTCCCAAATGCCCCCAATGTCCCCAATCCCCCCAATGTCCCCAATGTCCCCAATGTCCCAAATCCCCACAATGTCCCCAAATCCCTCCAGTGTCCCCAATGCCCCCAATGTCCCCAATGCCCCCAATGTCCCCAACGTCCCCAAATCCCCACAATGTCCCCAATCCCCACAATGTCCCCAAATCCCCCCAATGTCCCCAATGTCCCCCAATGTCCCCACTGCCCCCGATGTCCCCAATGTCCCCAACGTCCCCAAATCCCCCCAATGTCCCCACTGTCCCCGATGTCCCCCCGATGTCCCCACTGTCCCCAGCCCGGAGGAGGCCGGCCGTTACCTGGAGACCTTCAAGTCCTACGAGCAGAAGCCCCCGGACCTGCTGAAGGAGCGCGTGGAGCAGGACTTCCTGTCCCGGGTCCGTGTCCCCAAATGTCCCCAAATGTCCCCAGGAGTGTCCCCAGGTGTCCCCTGACCGGTGCCACCCCCGTCCCGCAGGTGACCGACTGCCTGACCAGCGTCAAATCCGTCAACAGGACGGACGCCCTGAGCCTGCTGGGGACCTTCGGGGTGAGCGGTGGCACTTGGGGACATCAGGGGGGGTGGCACTGCCTCGGTGTCCCCTTGGCTTTGTCACTTCTGTGGTGTCCCCTTGGGTTTGTCCTCTCTGTGTCCCCATGGGTTTGTCACCTCTGTGTCCCCATGGGTTTGTCCCCTCTGTGGTGTCCCCACGGGTTTGTCACTTCAGTGTCCCCATGGGTTTGTCACCTCTGTGGTGTCCCCTCGGGTTTGTCACCTCTGTGTCCCCTCCACTTTGTCCCCTCCCCTTGGCTTTGTCCCCTCGGTGTCCCCATGGGTTTGTCACCTCTGTGTCCCCTCGGCTTTGTCACCTCTGTGTCCCCATGGGTTTGTCACCTCTGTGTCCCTATGGGTTTGTCCCCTCTGTGTCCCCATGGGTTTGTCCCCTCGGTGTCCCCTCGGCTTTGTCACCTCAATGGTGTCCCCTCGGCTTTGTCACCTCTGTGTCCCCATGGGTTTGTCCCCTCTGTGTCCCCATGGGTTTGTCCCCTTGGTGTCCCCTCGATTTTGTCCCCTTGGTGTCCCCTCGGCTTTGTCACCTCGGTGTCCCCTCGGCTTTGTCACCTCTGTGGTGTCCCCTCAGCTTTGTCACCTCGGTGTCCCCATGGGTTTGTCCCCTCTGTGTCCCCATGGGTTTGTCACCTTGGTGTCCCCTCAGCTTTGTCCCCTCAGTGTCCCCTCAGCTTTGTCCCCTCTGTGTCCCCTCGGCTTTGTCCCCTCAGTGTCCCCTTGAGTTTGTCACCTCTGTGTCCCCTCGGCTTTGTCCCCTCTGTGGTGTCCCCATGGGTTTGTCCCCTCGGTGTCCCCTCAGCTTTGTCCCCTCAGTGTCCCCTCAGCTTTGTCCCCTCTGTGTCCCCTCGGCTTTGTCCCCTCAGTGTCCCCTTGAGTTTGTCACCTCTGTGTCCCCTCGGCTTTGTCACCTCAGTGTCCCCTCAGCTTTGTCACCTCTGTGTCCCCTCCCTGCAGTCGCTGGCGGCCGTGGTGGGGGCGTCACGGGAGGATCTGTCCCTGTGTCCTGGCGTGGGGCCACAGAAGGTGAGGGACAGAAAGGGACAGAAAGTTTGGGGACATTGGGGACGTTGGGGGGATTGGGGACACTGGGGACACTGGGGGGACTGGGGGGATTGGGGACACCCAGGGGCATTGGGGACATTGGCGGGATTGGGGACACTGGGGTCATTGGGGACATTGGGGACATTTGGGGATGTTGGGGACATTTGGGGACATTGGGGATTTTGGGGACATTTGGGGACCCTGGTTGTGCTCCTGTCCCTCTGTCCCCAACCAGGCCAAGCGTCTCTTCGATGTCCTGCACGAGCCTTTCGTCAAGACGCCGCGATGAGACCCAAAACCCTCAAAAATCAGCCCAAAAACCCCACAAAAATTCCCGCAAAATCCCCAAGATCCCCAAACCCACCAAAAATAAAAAAAAAATCCCCCAAAATTCATCAAAAATCCCCCAAAATATTGCCCAAAAATCCCCCAAAACCCAAAAATCGCCCAAAAATTCCCTCAAGACCCAAAAAATCCCCCAACCTCCCCCCTTAAAAATCCCAAAAAAACCCCCAAAAATCCCCCTTAAAAATGCCTTTAAAATCCCAAAAATCCCCCTTAAAAATCCCTAAAAAAACCCCAAAATCCCCCCAAAAAATCCCTAAAAAAACTCCAAAAATCCCCCCTTAAAAATCCCTAAAAAAAACCCCAAAATCCCCCCAAAAAATCCCAAAAAAACCCCAAAAATCCCCAAAAAATCCCCCCGAAACTCCCAATTTTTTTTGGCAATAAATCGCATTTAATGGTGGCGCAGGTGACAAAAGTGACACCACGGGTGACATCCCCGGGGGTGTCACTCCTGCCCTTCCCTCTTCTCCTTCTTCCTCTTCTTCCTCCTCTTGGTGACCTCGGGCGGCCCCGGCCCCTCCGGTGGCGCTGTCCCCGTGTCCCCAGGTGCCACCATGGCTGTCCCCGAGGGTGGCGCTGTCCCTGTGTCCCCAGGTGCCACCGTGGCTGTCGCCGAGGGTGGCGCTGTCCCCGTGTCCCCAAGTGCCACCATGGCTGTCCCCGAGGGTGGCGCTGTCCCCGTGTCCCCAGGTGCCACCGTGGCTGTCCCGAAGCTGCGGGCGATGCTCAGGGAGCCCCGCATGGGGGGCGCACAGCCCAGGGACCCCCCTGGGGACATTGGGGACAGCAGCAGGGGACAGTGCCAGCCCTGCCCGGCCGGGCCGCCCCGCAGCACGTACAGGGCGTCACCGCTGTTGGTGTCACCGTTGTTGTCATTGTCACCGGTGGTGGCACCAAGGCAGGGGCGGAGCCGCTCGAGGCCGTTCAGGGGCACCTGGCAGCCCTCGAGGCTGGGGGGGACACAGAGGGGGACATTGGGGACAGGGACAAAGGGACACCGGGGACACCCCCTGACAGTGGCATTGTCACCGTCCGACATTGGCATTGTCACCCCCACATTGTCACTGTCACCCCCATACTGCCATTGTCAACCCCGCATTGTCACCCCCACACTGCCATTGTCACCCCCACACTGGCATTGTCACCCCCACATTGCCGTTGTCACCAGGGATATTGGGACATCCCCATTGTCACTGTCACCCCCACATTGTCACCCCCACATTGGCATTGTCACCCCCACACTGTCACTGTCACCCCCACATTGTCACTGTCACCAGGGATATTGGGACATCCCCATTGTCACTGTCACCCCCACATTGTCACGGTCACCCCCACATTGCCGTTGTCACCAGGGATATTGGGACATCCCCATTGTCACTGTCACCCCCACATTGTCACCCCCACATTGGCATTGTCACCCCCACACTGTCACTGTCACCCCCACATTGTCACTGTCACCAGGGATATTGGGACATCCCCATTGTCACTGTCACCCCCACATTGTCACTGTCACCCCCACATTGCCATTGTCACCAGGGGTATTGGGACATCCCCATTGTCGCTGTCACCCCCACATTGTCACCCCCACATTGGCATTGTCACCCCCACACTGTCACTGTCACCCCCCCAGTGTCCCCCCCTTAGTGTCATTGCCACCCCCATGCCATTGTCACTGCCACCCCCCATCCCACTGTCACTGTGTCATTGTCACCTTTGGGGACAGAAATCCGCAGGGGCCTGGATCAGCCACAGCTCCGTTTGGGGACCCCCCATGGGGACCCCCCCGGGCGCGGCCTCGAACTCGGGGGGACACCGGAACCGGGGGGGTGGCCCTGGGGACACAGCGGGGGTCACCTCAATGTCCCCTTGACCCCTCCATGTCCCCAATGTCCCCCAGTGTCCCCCTCCTTGTCCCCCTCCAGACCCCTCCATGTCCCCAGTGCCCCCCCTGAGTCCCCAGAGCCCCCTCAATGTCCCCCCCAATGTCCCCTCCATGTCCCCAATGTCCCCCCCAATGTCCCCAAAGTGTCCCCAATGTCCCTCCCATGTCCCCCCGATGTCCCCACGTGTCCTCCCCATGTCCCCAATCTCCCGCCGCATCCCCGCCTCCCCCATCACCCCCAATGTCCCCAAAGCCCCCAAAGCTCCGCCAATGTCCCCAAAGCCCCTCCAGTGTCCCCAAAGCCCCCGCAATGTCCCCACGTGTCCCCTGGCGCATCCCCATCCCCTCCATGTCCCCAATCTCCCGTCACATCCCCGCCTCCCCCATCACCCCCAATGTCCCCACAGTGTCCCCAATGTCCCCCCAGTGTCCCCAAAGCCCCCCCAAAGTCCCCAAAGCCCCCCCAAAGTCCCCAATGTCCCCAATGTCCCCCCCTCTCACCCTCCATTGCCGCCGCCGCGTGCCCGCCTGGCTCCGCTCCCCCCGTCCCGCCGCGCACTTGGTACAGCCCTGGGCGGGGCTAAAGAGGCGCGGTTACCGCCAACCACGCCTCTTTTAGCCATAAATGGGCATGGGCGTGGCCTCTGCCGGCGGCATTTAAAGGTACAGCGACCCCCGGAACGACCCCGGCCCGGGGGCAGCGGGGGGGGCACCGGGACCGTGCGGGGGGGGGGTCGGGGGGTACCGGAGGGGGCGGGGCGGAGCTGAGGGGAGGTGGGGGGGGGGAGATCCGGGTTGGGTCGGGCTCCCGGCGTGCACCGGGACGGGACGGGCGGGGGCGTGGCTGGGGAGGAGCGGCGCTACAGGTACCGGGGGTTGAGGGGCGGGGGGGAAAATTGGGGTGTGGGACCCCCCCCCGGTGAGAACGGAGACCCCCCCGCCCCCGTGGGACCCGAATCGTTCCCGTGGGACCCCCCCCCCCCCCCCCCCCCCCGTGGGAACCGAATTTTCCCCGTGGGACCCGCCCCCCCCCCCCCCCGTGGGAAACCCCCGGTTTGGGACCCGTGCTCCCGGACCCGCCCCCCCCTTTGGTTTTGGGGTCCCCCCCCTCAGTTTTGGGATCCGTTTCCCCTCCTGGGATCCCCCCCCCGGTTTTGGGATCCGTTCCCCCAGGACCCGCCCGTCCCCCCCCCCCCCGTGGGAACCCCTTTGTTTTTGGGATTCCCTCCCGGTTTTGGGGTCCCCTCCCCGATTTTGGGGTCTCCTCCCCGTTTTTGGGATTCGTTTCCCCCGGTTTTAGGACCCCCTTCCCCCCGGTTTTAGGACCCCCTTCCCCGGTTTTGGGGTCCCCTCCCCGGTTCCCCCGGTTTTGGGGTCCCCTCCCGGTTTTGGGGTCCGTACTCCAGGTCTCGCCCCCCCCCCCCCCCCCCCCCCCCCGTGGGAACCCCTCTGTTTTTGGGATCCCCTCCCGGTTTTGGGATTCGTTCTCCCGGTTTTAGGATTCCCCCCCCCCCCCCCCCGGTTTTGGGGTCCCGCCCTCCGGTTTTGGGA